AGAGAATTGGCACTTTGCGTTGTGCTAGGTTAGGAGGATGGAAATCAGGGTTCTGTAAGAAATCAACCAGGGGATTAATATAGAAGTTACTCTGGTTTCTCTTCAGATTGTATAAATCTTTCGCCACTTGGAAGAAGACACATGTGTACTGTTAGATGTAGGCTGTCAAGCCTGCAGCCATCTTTTCTTTTGGATCTTTGGCCTGCCACACTTTCTATTCTTCTATTATGCCTTTTCTATTGTGGATAAGTGGGAGGGGAGATTGTGGGAGTGAGATGTGATGTAGCCATAGCAAAATTCTTTCTGGAAAGCCAAGGTCATCCTTTGCCTTTGCACCTCTGCACCTGACTGGAACTGGATGGGTGGAAATGCCAGCATGGGAATGGGAGATTGGACCATGTGATGGACTGGTGGGAGTGGGGGCAGGACCTTGAACTTTCAACCAGCTGGGGAAAACCGGGAAGCTTTCAGATTTGGATTTTCCCAGATGTGCCAATGTGGCTCTCTTGATGAATTGGAACTTTGAGCAATACTTTGCCTTGGACTCTGATTTACTTTTGGATGCTATTTGGAACCCTGGCATAAGCATGAAGAGGAAAAGGAACATGTATTATGATACTGTTTTCCATCTGAAAAAGAAAAAATCTGCTGAAAACCAGCTGAAGCATAATAAGCAAAAGTTGTTCAACCATACTAAGTCAGGGGGGTAATAATCTCTCTCTGTTTCATGCATTTCTTCTGCCTATTTACCCGCCTACTGTCTGCCTGACTGATTTTGTTTCATAGATTCTAGACAAATCGTTGAGTGATTTCCTGGCATCCTGTTTCTAGATACTTTAGTCATTCAAGGAAGAGTTCTTGCATGAATCCTCCTCAGACTTCTTTCACTGTGTCTCTTGCACAATAATACACAGCCGTGTCTTCAGCTTTGAGGTTGTTCATTTGCAGATAGAAATTGGAACTATCCTTGGAGGCAGTAAAGCGCCCTTGGATTGTGGGTGAATAATACTTGCTACCAGAATCATAATAGTGAACAAGCCACTCCAATCCTTGGCCAGGTTTCTGTCTGATCCAATCCATATAGTAGCTGTTAATATTGAATCCTGTGACAGCACAAGTCAATTTATGGGATTCTCCTGGTTTCTTCAGTGCTGCATCTGACTGGGTCAGGACTATCTGGGAGAGACCTCCTAAAAAAAGAAAGAAAAATAATTGGATGAGAGTTAGGACATCACAGCCATGCTTAAGAATCAAAGCTTCACTTTAACAAAGGAGTAAAAGTAATAGAATAAAATGGCAAAATGAACACACGGGAAGAAAAGGCAGCCAATGCGAGGAGAACTGGAAGGAAGGATGGCATAGTGGAGGATCGTCTATTTCTCTGAGGGCTTCTGTGAGCTGAATCTGTCCGCCTGTTTGTGATGGGGAGCTTGGAGGGTTTAAATGAGAAGTGAAAGTGATGTCGAGTTTGCATAAATCACGTTGGAAACTGTATAAAAAGGAGATGGATATCAGGGCATTTTGAACTATATACTAATCTCTTCTACAAGTGGAAGCATTGCACTATTTAACAATAAGCATATGTTTGCTCTTTAATTATAGTGCGATGTCCTTTGGAATGTCCTTAGAACTTAATGCTCTGTCAGTTCTACTCTCCACGTTCTCATTACACTGTAGCTGTGTTTTGATCTCACAATGTAGGGGACAGCTCTGGTTTCTAGAGTAGCCTCCTTTCCAGAAGAAATTACACCTGAACCACTTGTGTTTCATTGCCCTGGGAAAGCAGGTGAGGGTGTGATACACTCACATGTGAAGAATTTATCCATGACATACATTATCACCCCCTTATGAACAGGATATATATTTGTTTTCGTAGATTTTCACGGGTGTAGATATGCTGGTCTTGTTGTATTGGGGTCTTTTCCCGTGTAAGATTGAGATTGTCTTGGCAACATTTTGGCGAGGTCTCACTCGTCATCTTCAGCCGAAAACATCAGCCTGAAGATGGCGAGTGAGACCTCGCAGAAACATTGCCAAGACAATCTCAATCTTACACGGTAAAGACATAAATATTCTGAGAAAGAAGATCAAGTGCTTACAGGTAGGACCATATCAGGCCTCTGCCATCATTCAAAATACAAAATACAATACAGTAGCAGAGTTGGAAGGGACTTTGGGGGTCTTCTAGTCCAACCCCATGCCTAGGCAGGAAACCCTACACCATTTCAGACAAATGGTTATCCAACATATTTTGAAAAACTTCCAGTGTTGGATTATTCACAACTTCTGGAGGCAAGCTGTCCCACTGCTCAATTGTTCTAACTGTCAGGAAATTTCTCCTTAGTTCTAAGTTGCTTCTCTCCCTGATTAATTTCCACCCATTGCTTTTTGTCCTGTCTTCAGGTGATTTGAAGAATAGTTTGACTCCCTCTTCTTTGTGGCAACCTCTGAGATTTTGGAACCCTGCTATCATGTCTCCCCTAGTCCTTCTTTTCATCAGACGTATCCAGTTCCTGCAACCGTTCTTCATATGTTTTAACCTCCAATCCCCTAATCACCTTTGTTGCTCTTCTCTGCACTCTTTATAGAGTCCCCACATCTTTTCTATGTCGTGGCGACCAAAACTGAATGCAGTATTCCAAGTGTGGGTTTACCAAAGCATTATAAAGTGGTATTAACACTTCATGTGATCTTGATTCTATTTGAAATGACATCTTGCATTAGGAAGGAAAAAACCACAGCAAGTTAATCAGAAGTCAATAAGTAAAGGCTGTTGAGCCACATTAAATGTGCACTATAATATTTGCTCTTAATATTTTTTTCTTTTCATTAACTATTCCAATAACTCTTGGCGATTCACTTCTAAATGTGGAGCAATCATTTAGTAGTTCTCTGGTGACCCCTTCAGGGGCACTTTATGAATTACAGGGAAGAGATTTTGCAGGCCATCTCATAGGATTCCTTTCACTGTGTTTCCCCAGCACAGAAATATACAGCTGTGTCCTCCATTTTCAGGTCATTCATTTGGAGGTAGAAGTTGGAACTGTCTTTGTAGCTAGTAAACCTTCCTTGAACTGCGGAAGAATAAGAGTTGCTACTAGTTGTGTGATGGTAAACTATCCATTCCAGCCTTTGACCATGTTTCTGTCTAACCCAATCCATCCCGTAGCTGTGAATGTTGAATCCAGTGACAGCACAAGTCAGTCTATGAGCTTCTCCTGCTTTCTTCAGCACTGGGTCTGACTGGGTCAGAACCTTCTGAGAGAGGCCACCTAAGCAGAAAAGAAACCACAGAGAATTGGGGAAGGGTTAGGACATCATAGCCAAGGCTGACGAAGGCAGATTCATTGAAGTGCCAGAAAGAATGAAATGGAAAAAAGAAACGCACGAGAAGTGAAGATAACCAGGGTGAGAAGAAGTGAACAGAAGGACACCATAGTGGAAGAGTAGCTGGATCCTTGAGGGCGGATCTACGAGATGAGCTTGTCTGTTTATGTGAGATGAGACATCGTGATGGTTTAAATGAGAAGGGAACACCATGCCTCTTTTGCATAAGTCCAGATGAGAATGGTATAAATACAAGATGAAGCCACGTGAGTATTAAAATATCTAAGCTAATCTGCTTTTCAAAAAAGAAGTTTACACATCTGACTGGATCATCCCTTTTTGGAAATTGTACTTTGGTTTCCATTTGCTCTGAAACCAAGAGTGAAATGCCCCTTGGGATGTAATTAGAACCTAATGTTCTTTAATGAATATGGAGCTAGCAGAGTGTTTCAATGGCCAGATGCCTTTCCTGTCACCAATGCAGAGTTTTGTTCAGCAGATTTTATGGACTTTACGGAATCATCAGCTATGTTCTCTCTCAGTGTGCCCAGAGAGAGAAATATCTCCTTCTACCGAGGATCGAACTCACAGCCTCCTGATTGTGAGGCGAGAGATCCATCTTTAGGCCACCGCACCACTCTTAAGAAAAGAAATAGGAAAAAAATGGCAAAACCGAACACATGGGAGGAGAAGACTGCCAGTGTGAACAGAACTGGAAAGAAGGACAACATAGTAAAAGAATGGCTGGATCTCCAAGGGCTTCTGTGAGGTGAACTTTTCTGTTTGCTGGAGAGGGGAACTTTTGAAGGTTTATATGAGAAGTGAAAGTGATGGGGATTTTGCATAAATCCAAATGGAAATGGTATAAATGTGAGATGAATGGCGAAGTTGACACTGGGTGTCTGCAGATAGCACATTCATGCAGGTTCCAAATAGCACCCAAAAATAAATCAGACTCCAAGGCAAAGTATTGCTCAAAGTTCCAATTTATTAAGAGAGCCATGTTGGCAGATCTGGGAAACCCTGAATCTGAAAGCTTCCCGGTTTTTCCCACCTAGTTGAAAGTTCAAGACCTTGCCCCCACACCCACAAGTCCATCACATGGTCTAATCTCCCACTGCCATGCTGGCATTTCCACCCATCCAGTTCCGGTCAGATGCATAGGTGCAAAGACAAAGGATGATCTTGGCTTTCTAGAAAGAATTTCTCACTCCTACAATCCCTCCTCCTGTTTTCCCACACTAGAAAATGCATAGTAGAATAATAGAATAATAGAAAGTGTGGCAGGCCAAAGATCCGAAAGAAAAGATGGCTGGAGGCCTGACAGCAGGTTTCACATCATCCTAAGAAGGTGGCTTGTCAGTCCCTTTCCATTATCACCATCTCGTGGACATGAAATACTTTCACATTTTTTATAATAAAATATCTATTGGTGCCTTCAGAAATGGTGGGACCAAATAGGAGATGGCATCCAGAAGAGTTGTTGTGCAGTCCTCCTAGACTTAAAACAATTTGCTTAGCATCTGGTTAAAGTTACAATGACAATGAAAAAGATGACTCATGATTGGTTCTTGAACTTATGGCCATTGCAACCTCCCTGCTGTGGCCCCATGATCAAAATGAGCGGAAGTGGCACAGTGGTTAGAATGCAGTACTGCAGGATACTTCTGCTGACTGCTGGCTGCCTTCAATTTGGTAGTTCTAGCCTCATTAGGCTCAAGGTTGACTCATCCTTCTATCCTTCCAAGGATAGAGAGATAGAATCTCTGTTTCTCTCTGTCTCTCTCTCTCTGTTTCTCTCTGTCTCTCTCTCTCTGTCTCTCTCTGTCTCTCTCTCTCTCACACACACACACACTCACTTTCTGTCTCGCTGTCTTTCTCTCTCTCTCTCTCTCTCTCTCTCACTCTCTGTCTCTCTGTCTCTGTCTCTCTCACACACATTCACTCACTATCTCTCTCTATCTCTTTCTCACTCACTCTCTCTCACTCTGTCTCTGTTTCTCACTCTCTGTCTCTCTCTGCCTCTCTCTCTCTCTTTCACTCTGTCTCTCTCTCTGTCTCTCTCTGTCTGTCTCTGTCTCTCTAGCCCTCTGTCTCTCTCTCTGTCACTCCCTCTCTCACTCTCTATATCTCTCTGCCTCTCTCCCACTCACTCTCTGTCTTTTCCTTTCTCTGTCTCTCTCTCTCACTCATTCTCTGTCTGTCTCTCTGTTTCTCTGACTCTCTGTCTCTTTGTCTCTCTCTCTCTCTCTGTGTGTGTCTCTCTCTGTCTGTCTCTCTGTCTGTGTGTCTCTCTATCTGTCTCTGTGTGTCTCTTGGTCTCTCTCTCTCTCTCTCACACACACACACACACACACACAAACAATCTTTCTCACTCTCTGTCTCTCTCTCTTTGTGTGTGTCCTTCTGCCTCTGTCTCTCCCTCTCCCCCCCACCCTCCCCCTACATTGTTTTTTACAGGCCACAAATAGATGGTGTCACGCTGTGTGTTCTCGGAAACAGAAATACACAGCTGAGTCTGCAGCTACAAGAGAATTCACTTGGAGAGAGAACTCGTTCCTGGATTGATCTGCAGAAGTGGTGGTACGGCTTTTTACAGGACTAGCATACCATTTGCCTCCGTTGTTGACATTAATGGCTGAAAGCCATTCCACACCTTTCCCGTGGGGTTGCCTGACCCAATGCCAAGCGTAAGATGAAGAAGTAGCAATGGAGAAACCTGTGACTTTACAAACTAGGTTGAGTTGACTTCCAGGTCTCAGCACTCCCTGCCCAGATTGTGTGAGCTGAATGTCTGAGAAGACCCCTTGGGGGAAAAAGAAAAAAAAAAAGGAAGGATTGTAACGAACAACCAACACCACTGACCAAATATAATGTAGGTCTCTTAATTTTCTAATAAATTTTCTTACATCTTGGGAGGGCTGCAAGACAAAATGCAACAAACCATGATGTCATGATGGCCATTTTGGTTGACCCAGTGAGAACTTTGAAAGGAACTGACGATCTCAAAGTGGATGGGCTTATTTGAAGGAACACATCAGCACTGCATCTTGTAAAATTTGCGTGAATTCCTTCCTTTTATCGAGGGGTGAAAAATAAATTCAGTCTTAAAACTGAGCTTTGTTGCAAGGTCGGCTCCTCAACATCTTTCTGTTCCTTTTGATAAACCTAGAGAGAGAGAAATTGTCATCTCAGTTCTGAATGGACTGAGGTGGGAGTTTCGCAGGCTAAGCCACTTCCTATTTCCTTTGCCTGCAAAACAAAAATAAAATAAAAATGCTAGTGGAAATGGAGTTCAGTAACTCTGTAATAATTGAAGCACCTCTTAGGCCCTTATGCAATTTTGCAGTTCAAATCTCACCAGCTCAAGGTTGACTCAGCTTTCCATCCTTCTGAGGTGGGTAAAATGAGGACCCAGATTGTTGGGGGCAATATGCCAACTCTGTAAACGGCTTAGAGAAGCTGTAAAGCACTGTAAAGTGGTATATAAGTCAAAGTGCTATTGCTATTGCCCGCCCATTCTGGAGCAGATTTGGCAGGCCTTAAGAGACAGAGAATAGGGGCATAGTGGCTTAATGGCTAAGATGCTCACCTTGTTGATCAGAAAGGTCGGCAGTTCAGTGGTTTGAATCCCTAGCACCATGTAACAGAGTGAGCTCCTGTTACTTGTCCCAGCTTCTGCCAACCTAGCAGTTTGAAAGCATGTAAAAATGCAAGTAGAAAAAATAGAAACCACTTTTGGTGGGAAGGTAGCAGCACTCCGTGCACCTTTGGCATTTAGGCATGCCTCCTACATGACCACAGAGACATCTTTGGATAGCGCTGGCTCTTCAGCTTTGAAACAGAGATGAGCACTGCCCCCTAGGGTCGGGAACCTTAACCTTTAAGAGACAGAAACATTGAAGTAAAACAAATCAACTGGTCCTATGATAGGTTGAGCTAGTATGGCTAATAAGCAATTATTTGAAATGGGGATCAGTGGAACTAACAGATGAGAAATTTGTGATCTGCCCATGCCTCTATCTTCTGGAGCAGTGCAGGTTAAAAACAGACTTAAAGGGCAGTCCCGGGCAGAGTACTTTACAGTAATCCAAATCAGAAGTGGGTTGCTAATTTTTTTTACTACCGGTTCAGGGATGCGTGGCACTTCTGCGCATGGACAGATTTGTCTGGGCAAGTGGGCAGAGTTCCCACTGCTGCTGCTACTGTAGCAACCCACCTCTGATCCAAATGCAGAGGCCCAAGGAAGTGGTCTTGAAGGACAGGAGGAACCGCCAATACCAGGAGATGAGTCAGATAAAAGAAACATGGATCTGGGTCAGAAGTATCACCGGAGACAACATCTCAGACCAAACCCTCTCTCACTCTCTCAAAGATGAAAGGAGGGCAAGGGCATTGTGATTTGAAAGACTCTATCGCGACATCTTTCTAATAAAACCAATATTTGCTCTACATGGCTTTTGTTTCCTAATCTGGTCTAGCTTGCACGGCTGACAACAACTTGCAGCTGATGGAGTCATTTAATCCAGAAATGAGTACCGTTTGCAAAGAAGAAAAATGTAAATCTCAATGGAAAAGGGACTTTGATAGATTTAAACCAAACCTATTACCATTTTGATATTTTAAGGATCAGAACCAGGGGTGGGTTCCTGCCAGTTCTAACCTCTTCTATAGAAGAGGTTCCACAAATCTACAGTGCCGTTTAGAACCGGTTCCAGCTCCCTCCCCCCACCCATCTACACCACGCTTGCCCTCCCTGATGCTCACTGATTGGCTGGCTCACCAATCGCCCCGCCCACCTCTAAAAGTCCTATCTAAACCTTAAAGTCTTAAAGCTGTCAAGTTTCCACACCCCTGAGGTATTTTTTCCAAAGGGTTAGGGGTGCAAGGATCTTGTAACTTGACAGCTTTAAGACTTGGGTGCTTCAAATGCCAGAGTTTCTGAGCCAACATGACTGGAGGAGGAATTCTGGGAGTTGAAGTCCACAAGTATTAAAGCTGTCAAGTTTGAACACCCTTGGTGTTTTTTTTCTAAAGGGTTAGGGGGGCAAGGGTCTTGTAACTTGACAGCTTTAAGACTTGCGTGCTTCAAATGCCAGAGCTTCTGAGCCAACATTCTGGTTACTAAGCAAGAGTGTTGCTAAGTGAGTTTCACCACATTTTACAAGTTGGCCACGCCCACCCAGTCACATGTCTGCCAAGCCACAACCACCTGGTCACATGGCTGGCAAGCCACTACCACCTGGTCACATGGCCAGCAAGCCACTCCCACAAAGCAGGCCACACCTACAGAAGAGGTTCTAAAAAATTTTGAAACCCACCACTGATCAGAACCTGTCATCAAATATTCAGAAGCCGTTCAGACAAGTAGCCCCCTCATTCAGTGAGGTGTAAGGAGGATGAGACTGGGAGGATTCTGCTATTTCAGGTTATGTTTTTTAAACATTGAGGAAAGAGAGATATAATTCACAGCTTTTTGCCTTTAGTTTTTTATTGGACACGTCCAATATATATTTAAAAAACATAACTTGACTTGCGGAAACAGCAGGAGAGGAAATTCAATACGAATACAAACTTTTAATGGAAAATATGGCTTCTCGTGGAAAAAAAGACCAGGAGTCTTTCTGAAATGAATTCCTGAAGAGGGAAAGGAAGACATTTTGAGATGTCATCAACCCGTGGAAGAAGAACCTGCAGGAAACCACAGCCAAATAGTGAGAAAGCAATGAGCGAAAGATGTTCAACCATCCTTAGTGTGGAACAATAATATCTTTGGGGGTATTTTTGTTTTATTTATTTATTTATTTTATTTATTTTTATTTTATTAGTATTTATAGGCCGCCCTTTTCCCTGAGGGGACTCAGGGCGGCTTACATAAAATAAGGAAGGTGGGGTACAAGACAATAAACACAGAACAATACATACAAGTAAAATAGTAAACAACATTCATTCATCATTCGGGTGGGGATAGATTATCTTTATCCCCAGGCCTGACGG